ATTACAGCAGACGCACTCTCATTGTACTTACACGCGTCCCTCTCTCCCTACATCGTGACGCTCTGTATTGCTTTCTGTCGGCCAGCAGTGCAGGGTGGACCAGGTTCATGGGATGATCGGCGCAGGCTCGCCTTCTCTCGCCGACGAGGAGCTTTATGCACAGAAGGCATCAGGCATTGCCGAGAAGCATAACAAAAATTCTGCAGCTTCCGCTGAAACCCGATCAGGAGGCACATACATGTACACCACCCATCCACGCGCATCCTCTGAAAACAGTTTCAATGCTGCGGGAAGGGGGAAGAGGGAGCTGTTGAAAAGGGGGCCCATTTCCTGCGCACATCCACTGGAGCAGGACGGTGCCGGGTTGCCGGGCCACTTCTTTGCTGTATCAACTGGATGAGCACGGTGCTTGTTCTCAGTCCTCCAGTCTGTGCCTCGTGCGTCTCTTTTTGCGGCTATCGGCTCCCCCCTCCAAGGTCAGGTTCAAGCTTGGGTACAAGCTCCAAGCAGCTCTGACGAATAGTGCCCGCTGTTCTTGGGTCTAGCGTCTGAGACCGGCCGGCACTTGTCATGACGGAGCCTAACTCTAAAATCGACGCTGGCTGTCAACATTGGGGCCAACACTCGGAAGACGAACCCGGTAGGTTGCGCTACTGCCACGGTTACTGTGAATGCAACGCTGGCTTGGGCTGCGGCATATTCGCCTTCCCCTCCCTCCTCTCCTCTTCCAACACACCTCTTTCTTCTATCCACCCGCCCTCCCATGTAGGGCTCATGTGTCCCCAACTTACACGTTACCTGGACAGATGCCTTGTCGGGTACTGGGCCATGTGTTGCTGCTTCAGTGCCTGCTCAGGTCCATAGGTCCCGACCTCACATCTCCGGGAGGGCGGGTGTTTCGAGACGGAACGTGATCAAGGGGACGCAGGGGACCTGTAGATCCTAGGAGTGGTACATGTACAACGAGTAAGTGGACCACCCACTGTGCAGCCAAGCCAGGCCACAAGGCCGCCAGGGCGGCGCATCACTCTCTTGTCTCTCTCTCTCTCTCTCGAATGCATTAGGTGCATCCTGTCCTTCAACGTGCTCCTTCATTTCATATTCGTCACCACCTGGCATGTTCCGAGATAGGGAGGGGGTCCAGGCAAGGCCAACTTCTAGGACAGGGTAACCGGATGCCCGAGATGGACCGCCAGCATGGCAGCCCTGCGGGTGTTGGGATCAACAGCAGGCGATTAGGTGGATATGGAACCAATGGCGCCAGCACGGAGCAGGCTCCGAGCCCTGCTCAGTCGGATGTATTTTGGTGCCGAGAAGGCGGTGCCGTGACAAACCCGGGGCTTTTTTTCTCATTCATTTGGTCCATGTCGGCCCCAGTCTATCCCAACTTGTTGATATTGGTTTTCGTTGTAAGGCCGTTCTGCTCGTGATCCTCATTTCGAATTCAAGCCGGTGTGTCTATCGAGTTTTGACACGTGTATCCACCCTCGCACCAGACTACCAGGGGTAGCGTCGACCTGCCATTCAGTCGTGCAGCTGAGGAGTCGAGATATAGAAGGACGGGTGCCCTAGTAAATTATGGATGCAGCATGCCCATCTAATGGGCTGTGGATATGTACGACTGTACATGTAAGTATGGTCGTTGGCCCACCTCGTCCTGGCCGACTTGTCACAGGCCATGTCACGTTTCAAGGTATGGGCAGCGGTACATGGTACTCGCAACGATCAAGCACGTCTGGCCACACAAGCGTGAGCAAGCGCCTTTCCAGGAATGTCACCCACCCCCTTGACGAGTAGGACCTTGGCCCGCCTCTCCACGAGCCTTCACGAACCGCTGTCAACAAGCTCCTTGGTGGACTCGTACACTCTTAAGGGCAGGCAGCTAACTATCTGGAGCGGTCTGGCAAGCCTGCGGGGTCCGTACGTTTCGACGCTAGTCTGCACATGCGCCCGCGAGGCTGCGCCCTGCGCTCCCTTTCCCCTCCCCCAACTTTGCAGGGACCCAGATGTACATGTACAGTAATGTCCTGCGGGTAGGGATGTACCGTTCAAGTACGTACACGTAGGTGGGAGGTACATGTACATAGTACGTGAGCAAGGAGGAAATCGCTTGCTGCCTTCAGCCCCGCCCAATGAAGGCTTGTCTCGCCTCGCCGCCGTGACATTACCTCGCACCTGTTCCAAACGCCGCGTACCCTCGACCTAGCACTGATTACTTTTAGCATCCTTGCCGAACTGGCTGTCCCGAAAACGATCTCTAATCATCTGGGACGGGTAGCATGGGTCCTAGCTACGGTATGTGCCAGTACGAACATCAAAGGGCCAAGCCCAGCCCTGGCCAGCTCGCTGCCTTGCTCTGCCACCTGTAGCGGCCAGGCTGTGTGAGGACTATGTACATGTAGGACAATCACATTGCCATCATCGGGGTGTCGTCCAGGTCTGTACTGTACGTAATGCTTGAGCACAAAAGCAACCCAAGCAAGGGTACATGCCCTGCCGCCGCCATAAAGACTCGAGTCTGTTCTCCCTTTCGTTTCGGGCATAATATGTGCCTCATGTTAACTACACTGCGAGACAGCCTAATAGCGCTTCATGAAGAGCCATGGTCGATCAGCAGCCGTGTCATTCGACGAAGCGCCATAAGCCCTTGACGGTGCAACCATGGGTACCGGCACCGCTCCTCGAAATGCCTCTAGCATCTTCCCAGCCTCGCCTGCACCGCTAAGCCCCCCGCTTGAACGATCGCCTGTGTTCCCAGTGGGGACGAGGACGCCACATTCCCAGTTTCGGCACGTGAGTTTTGCCCTGCCGGATCCCCGCTCTTTCGTGAGTCGACCCCTGTACAAGATGTCCAAGTCAGTCAGGGGCGAGACGCGTACACTAAACGTCCAGATGTGGCATGCTGCGACTCACCACGCGCTTTCCGACAGATTGGCACTCCCGACGTAGGCCCATCCCGCTCCTGGGTCGTCTTGGCCACCTGTACCGTTGGGCTGCACAAAGATGATTTTGTCGTGCATGAGAACTCCGCGTCTTGTACTGATTGCATCTCGAAGCATGTCTCGTGGGAACGTCGCAGAGCCCCACCACTTCTCTTGGAAACAGATTGTGCCGCCAGCCTATGGCACATATAGTTAGCCGCATATGATCCATAGAAAGTCGGCGCGAGCACCTCTCCAGTCGAGCTGAGTTCACTTACAGCCTTGCCGCCTCGGCTTTTAGCGACTGTGTCTTCCGTGGGAAAGTATATCCGCATCTTAGCCCCAAGCGCCTTATCACTGTCTGTCGCAGTCGCAGCGAGAGCGGTCTTCGTGTTCCGTCGGCTTGGCTGGTCCACTCCATCCTTTTGACCGTCGTTTAAGCCTGGTGGAAGGTAAGAGCCTCGTGAACCAATGGAAGAACAGGTATCCGTTTGACGTACCTTGGCACGCCGTGTATATCGTCTTGATAAACGAATTATCGATCGAACCCAGTGATGACGTCTGTACGTATGAAATCGTCAGATTTGTCCATCGAAAGACCTCTCTGAATGCCTGTGGTCATGTTTCCTCACCACATAGTCAACGGAGATAGGCTTATCGGTTGACAAGCCCATTGAATGCACGGCACGACTCAAACCATGGTATCCTACGCCAAGTTGTCAGAACCCAGTAGTCAGTGAGCCTTGTGAAAAAGGCATCACGATGTAGAAGACAAGATGCCCTACCTGTCTCCCCAGATAGCTGGTCTGTGTGGCCTCCAGCACTGCCAGCATTGATCAGCAAAAAGCAGTGACACGAGGCTCCAAGCCAGATCATGAATCTCGCGAAAAAAGAAATGCAGCGTAGGCCGTGAAGGGCCGTGAAAGCTTACATGGTGTGAATGAACCGGTAGCGCTCCGTCTCAGTGAAGTCGAAGTTATCGAGGCTCTTGACCAGACTCTCGTCCAGTCCCTGTGCCCGAAGGAAGCGTCGCAGCTCTGTGCCAAAGGAAACTCCCGCGGCATCATGACCTCGGATTGCATCTCTATCCTCTGGGGCTTGAACGATTCGTGGAAGATCAATGAGAAAAACAATCTATACTGTCAGCAGACTGGTCCGTAGATGAAGTGTGAGGCCGAATCTCTTTTGATGGAACTTACGTTCTCGAGCACTCCCGTCTCTCCCCAGTCGTAAGGAACCAGGTTACCAGATGGTACAACAATGCGCAAGTGACTGGCAATTGTCAGTAAACCGTGAGAAGTATTCGTGCGGAGAGGCCAGTCGATTACTTTGGGTACTTCAACAGTTGCAACTTCGAATGCATACAGCCAATGCCGTGCATGGGAGGAAAGCAGAGTTTGATTCGGCTGCTGGGTACGTTGGCCCTCAATGTCTCTTGCTGCAATATGGTCAGCAACTGAACACTTGACCTTGGTTGAGAGCACGCTGAACATGGGTCATACCTCGGCGCCGTTCTTTGCATACGCAATGAATACCATCCTGGTTCTGGCAGTGTCGACTTTGGACAGGAACCAGGGCTCATCCCACTGGAAAGATGACACGACAGCTAGCTCGAGCTTGTCCTTCTCGAGGACTTCTTCAATCTTGATGTCGTCATCTGTCCGCGGACAACCATGCACCCACGTTCTTTTGACGACTCCTCTCGGGAAGCGTAGCTCCGGCACTTGGCGCGTGGCTTGGTTTCCATTCGAGGCCGTGACACCCATTGAGATCGAAGCTGGCGCATCCTGTCTCAACATAGTTGGATCATTCGACCCTGGTGTTGCTGGTGTTCTCAGCCGTTTGCCTTGCGGCCCATCGAGCGAGGCATCTTCAGCCGTTCGTTTGCGAAGCCGCTGTAGGCGCGCCTCTTCCATTTTCTTCCTGTCCATCAACCATGATTCCGGACCAGCGACCTTGACTATCTGGTCAAGAGGCTTGGTGCCTTTGGGTGTAGGCTCTTGCTCCGAGGTTCTGGGGTCTTCTGCCTCCTGCTTTAGAGATGATGCGATTGCAGCTTTGAGAGCCTCATCTTCGTCATAATCGCCATTGACATCTTGGTAAGAAGTTTCTCCAGGTTTCTGGTTCGGTGATGGCGAAGCCATCTTGGTTTTGAATTTTCCGAGACCTAGCCCCCGTTCTCGAAGGTTCGTTAATGGCAATGATGGGTTATGACTTCTTGCCTGCGTGGGAGGCGGGCAAAAATTGGACCAGGCGTACGAGTACTTCGGATGTGGAAGAGAGTACTCTGAGCTCTACTAGTGCTCAAAATACGCTGACCGGCGAGATAATTATTGGATCAGGTGGCCTTGGTTTTACATGCGAGAGAGCAAGACCATGTGCGAGGCTTGGATGAGGATTTGTGACCCCTGGCGAAGGTGGTCTACACGTCCCTAGGTACACATGCGCCACATCAAACGCGACTTGACCACGAGACCACGTGACATCATTTTTGCCCAATGTCAAAGCAATTCCTCACATTCACAGGGACAGGAGAAACTGTCTCATGCTTTCGACGTGATGGGACCATCGATCCACCGACCAAGCGCTAAGTCTCTAGACTGCAGTAATTTTACTGAGAATACATTACTGACATCATACGACTTGAAGCAGCTTGTCATGCAGTCGCAACGTCCAGAGGGAAAAATAAATTGATAAGCATTGTATACAATAGCAGTTTCGCTGTCCTTGTCAAAACCTGACCATCGCGTGGCTAAAGTGCACAAGCGAGCACAAAGGAGACACGCTGTACGATGCGCCCTGGAACAATGTACCAAGCCTTGCCTGATTGACATTCCGTCATAGTAATGAATCCGGGTCTCAGATGTAGAGATCAGTCCGACGCCAGCCACCATGATCCTCCCATGCAAGCCAAAAAAAGATCCTTAACCCTTGCACCGCAGTGAGAACAATCATGTGCTGCAAAGCTTTCCCACGAAGACTGTCGTAGATGAACAGAGACATGAAATCAGGAGATTCAAATCAAGACAGTTTAAGAATTCGCCTCAAGTCATCCTCCATTGCTAGCAAGCCCGCAGGCCGGCTGGCAGGCGCGGAAGAACTCACCAAGGCCTCGTTTGGGGGGGCTGGATGCATTGTTTCTGAGCCCGAGTTCTTGGGCCCGAAAAGGTATTTCTTCAGGGCTTCTGTTGGGTCTTCGTGAAGCTGCGACGGCGAGACTCCACTGTTTGTAGGTTCCGGGACTGGGCCGCGTGCTGCGCGTATGCGGTCTTGATAGGGAGTGGAAAAGGCAGGCCCAACCGGCCGTCCTGGAACACCGTCAAGCTCTGCCATGGGGATACCGGACGAGGAATGCTGCTGGAAAGGCTTGTCCCTAGGCAATCCGTAATGCTGTCGAGGCATTGTTTGAGATCCTTGAGGCATAGCGGCGGGAGAAAACAGGTTTCGGCTGGTAGAGGCATCGCTGACGAAGCTAGGGCGACGAGCCTTCTCCTTCTCCGCACGATCGGCTCTGAACATAGCCTCTAGTGGTGACTCACGCGCCTCGTTGGCTAGTGGCCGCTGCGGAGTCGGCATTTCTGGCTCCGTAGCGGGCGGAGATGGCTGTTGCTGGGCATCCTGGTGGCGAGTCTGCGTACTAGGCGATCCAGCAAATGACTTATAAAAACTTGGTATCGGCAAAGCAGATGGCGCCGGAGAAGCGTGGAATGTAGCGCCAGCAAAAGCGGCCGAAGACGGCAGCTTGGTTACGGCGGCGCTGTTCGGAGTGGTCTGGCGCGCAGTTCGTGCGAAGTCGGGAGAGGCTGTCGATTGCTTGGGACGAGCCTTGTTGTGACTACCTTGGTTGGTGGCATTTTGATTGTTATTGCGTGCGCGCGAAGCTCTCGCAGAGCCCTGCTGGAAAGCAACAGGCTGCATATCAAATGCGGGAGAGCCCGACTTTTGAGGTGTGGACGGTTGAGGGCCCTGATCATACCCCATCTTCGAAGTCACTGGCAAGTCGTTCTCAGACGCATACATCCTCTGCAAAGCGGGTTTGCCGTTATTTCGGGCGGCGCGACGGCGCGACGGCGTAGGTTTCGCCTGCTCCATTGCTGTACTGGATTTCGGAGCAGGTGTTGCAAGACTTGATGATATGGAAGAGCCAAGTTCGCCGAGGAAGGCGAAGGTCGCTCGAGGCAACGGAGCTGACGTTTTGGGTGTTAGGAGGCGCCCAGTTCGTGCGGGGGAAGGCAGTCTCGGGCGCGCGTTTGTTGCGCCGGTTGACGATGCACGTGAGTGTTATGGGATGCCCGGCTGATGTCGAAATGAGATGGATATGTCGGTGATTGTGATGTAGGCGCAAAGAATCCTGCTCATGGTGGAGAGGCAAGACGTTGGGTTGGAGGCAACCCTTGACACGGAAGTAGGCTGTGGGAGTAGCCAAGCAGCCCTGTTGGTTGACGAAAGCGGATGTTGAACGCAGATGACAGGATGTGCATGTATGTAATGTGGGGCCGAGGGGTAAAATAGGCGGTATGCTGGTTCAGCTTGGTGACGTGGGTTAAGAGCAAGGCTGGCATGGCACGTGACCGACAGCCAACCTTGTCGTCCCGTCCCCTCTGCCAAGCACCTGTCTGTGGAAAATGCACAGATTCTGCCCAGGGCAGGTATTCTAAATCCTCTCTAGTAAGGTAGCAGTCATAGTTAGACAAATCAACTCCCTCCCGTCATCGAGCAACCCAGGAAGATGAGACCATGAGGTAGTTGTAGCCTATAGACATACGCACTATACAAAAAAAATAACATGCCTGCTAGCAGAAGGGCGTGTGTTCTGGTTTCCTGCGTAGACAGGCAGGCACATTGGAACTGAAAGGTTTCGTTTTGGCACTGTGCTCTAAGCACCCTATTGGGTAGGCGACAAGTTCACGTTCCCCCCTCCAAAAGAGAGGACCTTGAGTAGCAGTGACCAAAGCAGGTGCCTCCATCCAGCTTGCCCAAAGAGCGCCTCCTCGAACACACCAGCAACATTTGACCAGACAAGCTTTCCTCTTGCTACCTACCTAGGTACCTACCTTAGGTACGTAGGCTCAGAATTCCCAACTTGATTCGTCCTTGTCCCTTCCCTATAGGCGTCACGCCGTCCGACAGCAGCTGGCAATCGTCCCCCGCGAGTCGCTCCGAGCTTAGCTTACCTAGTCCTCTAGACCTTGAGGGAACTTCCTGGACCCTGACTTTGATCCATACCTCCCTCTATCCAGCGACGAAATCCATACGGTTCTTGTTACGATATTCGTATCACACTTTACGGCAACTTTAACTCACCCGAACACATCAGCAACCCCCGCAGAGTCACCAGCGAATCATGGCCGACGTGGACATGACGGACGCTCCCGTCCAGGCAGTCGCTACGAAGAAACCCAGCGGTTCAGAGGGAAAAGCCACCGATGGAAAGAAGCGCTTTGAGGTCAAAAAGGTTGGTTCGCACAGCCTTTGCAGACAACACACGCTTGGCTGACTTACGCTATTAGTGGAATGCTGTTGCGTTGTGGGCTTGGGATATTGTTGTCGACAACTGCGCCATCTGCAGAAACCACATTATGGATCTTTGTAAGTTTTATATCTGGCAGAGGCAGACGTGACTCCGACAGACTTCTCGAAACTGGTCCGCTAACAACAACCGTCTCGTCCAGGTATCGAGTGCCAGGCCAACCAAGCCTCGGCGACCAGTGAAGAGTGCACCGTGGCTTGGGGAATATGCAACGTGAGCAGTGCCCGCTTTCTGGACTGCCTCATACTACGGAAGGGGTATCGCTGACGAAGCTATAGCACGCCTTCCACTTCCATTGCATATCGCGATGGCTCAAGACTCGACAAGTATGCCCTCTAGATAATCGTGACTGGGAATTTCAGAAATATGGCCGTTAAGGAGAGATGGGTCATTTGCCTAAGGGCCCGTCGGCAGGAAGCACGCAGGCAGAGAACGTACATCTGATGGGGCAGCGGCAACAATGGGAGGTGGCAACAACGAGGGCGGAAGAGCATGATATCATGGACCAACAAACAGCCAGCACGAATAGCGCTTCTGGCACGACGGAACTCGCGTACTTTGATATGAACCACTGGCAACTTCTCATCTGTTTTACTCCCGCTCGTCATCCCGTCTTCTCCACGACTGTGATGTCGCCGACAGCACCTTGTGGTTCCAGCCACTTCACTGGGTGCCGGTTGTAGAATGGCCAGGGTGGCACGACAACAAGGAACGTCAGCGCCGTGCCGCCTAGCCCAATATAGACAGCCAGCTTGATATCTTGGAGGATGAAGCCGACGATGAACGTGAGTACCTGGAACACAAAGACGGTGTGATCAGCAAATGGTGGCCATCAAGGTTGGTCTCAAGAGGCAAAGGCGAGACGTACCCCGAACGCAGAGAGCAGAAAAGTAGACAAGAGCTCGGCCTTCTTTTGTCCTTCAAAGTCCTGTTGGTGACGCAGATGGGTCAGCGGGAGGGAGCGCCAAGGATTGGACTGATCCGTCTATGACAACATACAATCTGGCCCTCGGCGAGATCCCGAACTTGGTCCAGAATCTGTTCAGCCATGGCGATGCGACCTTGCGTCAGGCAAGATCGGGAGTTGTCCGTAGAAAGTGGACAAGAAGCGGTAATACAACGAGAAGCCAGGCGATCAAGATTCAAACTGTTCTTCCCAGAAGTGCCCCGAGGTAGCTTGAGAATTGAGAATCGGATGCAACAACCTGTTTCGCGATGCGGTTGCAGGGCGGGCGTGCTGCAACGTGGTGTTCCTTAGGTAAGCGATGCTTGTGATGCTGTCTGGACCAGTGGCTAGCTTGCCTTGGGTGGTGCACAGTATGAACTCGTACCGACGGAGGCCCATAATTATTCCTCACACCAAGATGACGACGCATCGGACATGTTCCGAGGCATGTCCCAACCGCGGAACCTGCCCGAGAGCCTTACGCAAGTTAGGCAGTTCCTGGCTAAATTTTCTGGCCTCCCACCTGTTTGGAGAGGGATATCAGCCCCAATGAAAGACGTCCGTCCTTTGACTTCGACATTTCGTTGCTTCACTCTTTCCACTCCCCTCCGTTTTGTCTGCACCACCCAGTCTCTTGACCTCAACTGCAAACACAACAACCGCATCAGTTGCCAATTTTGTCGTTTCTCCGATCCACGCACTCCTCGGGGTTATCGAGTCCAGAGAAGGTCTAGCTGTTGTTTGGCACTCTGACTCTGGTCCGACATCACAATCACCTCAAACGCTACGACTGAACTCTTCTGGCTTCACGACGCCCACACGTCCGCGTCGAATTGAACACAGAAGGTCGCAAGACCCAACAACACATCTCTAGTCATCAGAATACCACCAAGTTGGCTTCACTCGCCCCGCTTCAGCTCTTCTCTACCCGTTCGCTCCTAGGTCCTGGATTCTGGGTCTACAGTGGAGTGAACAAGAAGCCGCCTTAAGTAGACTTCGCCCGACAATCGCGACGGAACTCTGCAGCAACAAACCCAAGTACCCTGACCGTCGCCTCGGCAGAACACGACGCCTGCCTTGGGTCTGGACAGCGAAGCATACCCACGATCTATGCGCGCAGTGCGCTACAGCTGTAGCCAGCTACCCGCCAGCGATATTCGCTTCGGCTAGTCAAGTTATGGGAGCCAACATCTGAGTTCAGACGCAGGGGCTCCTGACGGCACAATTCGATCAAACGCTGCTTAATCGTTGGATTCTATCTTACAACACCAACTCTCACGACCCCGACTCCATCACCGACCCCATCTGGGTTTACAAAATGTCGGATCACGAGGAAAACGGCTCCGATGTGGCCTTCAAGACGCCTATCCCTGAGCTGGATGATCACAGACATCAGCCGCCCTCCTCTCAGCAACATGAGCGGGTCCGTCGAGGTACCTTCGATTCGCTCTACGGTGCTCGTCTACTGGCCGCCGACGATGACCGGGCACCGGACAATACCAAAAATCGAGTGAAAGGCTCAGAGGAGGCAATCTTGGACGACGAGATCGATCAGGCATCACCCACTGCCCGGCGCCCGCGGCGGCCTACGGTGGAGACCATTGGCGAGCAGCGTTCGATCTCGCCTCCCAACTCTGTCAAGGCCTTTGCTGAAGCTCGCCGTCGCGAACGTGACATGTCTTTTTCGGAACCGAGACCTGATGATACTGAACTACATCGAGCTATTTCCATTGCCAGTCGTCGAAGCAGGCCGCGCACTGTGGATGATGATGCCGTCAGTATGGACTCGAATCACACAGCCGAGGAAGACGTTTGCTTTCCACTTCAGGACAAGGGCAGGAAGGATCAGTTGTATATTGATTTCGACTACCTGGAGAACTTCTTGCAGTCTGAGTCTGCTGCACGTGCTCTCAGCAAACAGGAGACTGTGGACAGAAGCTTTGCGGATTTACGACCCCAAAATTCCACCTGCGCCCCTGATGGGATCCAGTTGGCCACTCTAGATGGAGACATCCTTGACATGCCGTCCGAGTCATCGATGGTGGACGACAACAAGGAAAAGCCCACCCTGGCCGATGAGTCAAAGGCTCCTCAGCAGCCGCCCATTGACAAGAACCGTTTCAGCTTCTTCTCCTCGGCTTGGGAGTCCACCATCCATGCTCAAGACTTTGGTGACCTGGTTCTTCCAGGAGAGGATGTTCGGGGGTTGTTCGCTTTGCCGCCAAACGAATCAGATGGTGTCTGGTGGCTCAATGTCAACAACCCAACAAAAGAAGAAGTTCAAGCCATTTGCAAGGCATTCGGAATCCACCCTCTTACGATTGAGGATATCACCACTCAGGAAGCGCGCGAAAAGATTGAGCTTTTCCCTTCCTACTACTTTGCGAGCTTTCGCTCGTTTCAAACAGTGGAAGAAGACGATGGGCAAGAGTATGAGCCGTTCAACATCTACGTTGTTGTGTTCAGAGAGGGGACTTTGAGCTTCAGCTTTCAACCAAATGCTCATGCTTCCCACGTCAGGAAGAGGATTGCTTTGTTGAAGGATTATGTTGCTCTTAGCAGTGACTGGATTTGTTACGCGATGATGTAAGTCTGTCTGTTGCCCAGAACAATACTCCCTAGCAAGGCTAACCATTCATTGTCTTCTTATTGAACAGTGACGACATTGTTGATTGCTTTGCACCAATCATTCGAAAGATTGAGCTGGAGGCTGACTCGATTGAAGATGAAGTTTTCGTCATTCGCGAAGGCGATTCAAGCGTCTTCCTCCGGTCCATCGGGCGAGTGCGCAAGAACTGCATGGCATTGATGCGTCTGCTTGGAGGAAAGGCTGACGTACTCCGTGGTTTCACCAAACGCTGCAACGAAAACTACAAGGTGACACCTCGGATGGATATTGGCTTGTACCTCGGCGATATACAAGATCACGTGGTTACGATGGTCACAAACCTCGGACACTTCGAGAAGATCCTTTCTCGTTCTCACAGCAACTACCTTGCACAGCTATCCATCAACAACATTGCACAGGGAACAGACACCAACCGGGTGCTAAGCAAGATCACTTTTCTTGCCTCAATCCTGGTGCCGATGAACCTCGTAAGTGGTTTGTTCGGCATGAATGTTCGCGTGCCTTTCCAGGATGGTCCGAACGTGATTCCATTCTTCACCATTATGGGCAGCCTGTTCTTCTTCTGTATCGTCATCTTGGTGTGGGCTCGTAGAGCCAGGTACATATGACGGCGTGGTAAGAAGCCACTACACCCTTCCATCAGTTCGTGCACACATACACTCGATGATCCGGCATGCGAATGTTTCAGCTGCTTGATAAAAATTAGAAACACTTTCCTAGGTATCAAATATACGCTCTCAATAAAACAAAAAAAAAAAAACTCTGTCTGCCGCGGAGCCTTGAGGACCAAGGCAACGTAGATGTGACATCAAGTCAAGACATGCACACTTAGTACAGGGCGTGCCGCGTTCTCATCCAATCTCTCCATGTTTTGGTCTTGCTTGGGATAACCCCTAATTGCGCTTCACAGACGTTGTTCAACTCCACTGCTCATGACTCCCACACCACAGAGTTCAGGTTTGTCATGACACAAGCCTCACCGTCTCGCTTCACAAGCCGCCCAATTCGGGAGACCTTTTCACCCGCAGCCTCCAACGCTGCTACAGTATCCTTTACTTGATCCACGCCAACGGCCACTACCATACCGATGCCCATGTTGAATGTGCGGCACATTTGTAGCGCCTCGACATTACCACTGATCTTGAGCCACTTGAAGACGGCCGGCACTTGCCATGACGTCAAGTCTATCTCGGCAGCGAGTTCGTCTGGCAGCATGCGAGGTACGTTGTCGATCAAACCTCCACCGGTGATGTGTGCGAGTCCCTTGACAAGCCCCTTTTCGACAACCCCGCGCAAGCTCTTCACATAGATTCGTGTCGGTGTCAGGAGATTCTCGCCCACGCTCCGACCTTGGTCCCACGGCGCCTGGTCGGAATATTGCAGTCCTTCGCGTTCCACAATTTTGCGAACGAGTGAGAACCCATTCGAGTGCACGCCACTTGAAGACAGTCCCAGAAGAACATCTCCCTGTGCCATGTCCTGGGTACGCGGAAGTCGGTGGCGGCCAGTCATGACGCCAACGGCGCAGCCCGCCGCATCATAGTCATCCTTCTGGTACATGCCTGGCATCTCAGCAGTCTCTCCGCCGACCAGCGTGCAGCCCGCATCGATGCAGCCCGCCGCCACACCCTCAACGAAGGATGCCGCCGTGCTGAGGTCCAGCTTGCTGCAGCCATAGTAGTCAAGGAACATGAGAGGTCGCGCACCCTGAACCACCAGGTCGTTCACATTCATGGCGACCAAGTCGATGCCCACCGTGTCATGTTTCCCCATCTTCTGCGCAATGAGCAGCTTGGTACCCACGCCGTCGATGGCACCAACAACAATCGGAAGCTGTCCATCATCCGTCTGGATGCCGCACTTGGCCAAATCTACCTCACCTCCAAAGCCTCCAATCTCAGCATCTGCACCAGGCTGTCTTGTGGCCCTCACAGCCTTCTTGATACGCTCTACAAAGTCATTGCCGGCGTCGACGCTCACGCCAGCGGCGGCGTATGTGAGCGCCTCCTTAGCCCCGGTTTTGTTTCGAAAGGCGCGGTGAGCGATGTCCTTGCGGTAGTACATCTTGTCGAACTGGATCAGCTTGATACCCTCCTGGTATGCCTTGTTGACCGCTGCCTCCAGGGACTCGGCAGCTGTCGCGTTGACGGCAATGACCCGACCGCCCGCAGTCTGGAGCTGGCCTTCCGCCGTGAGGACTGTTCCGGCGTGGAAGACAGTGATGTCAGGCGAGCTTGACGCCTGCACATTCATCGGCGTGCCCTTGGCGTAGGCGTCGGGATAACCTCCAGCGGCGACAACGACGGTAGCGCTGAATTTTGGCTCGATCTTCACCTTGACGCAATCGAGGCGAGCTTCGTGTGCCGTGCATGCGAGCATGATTTCGGCAAGATCGGTATCGGCGGACAGAAGCGGCAGCACAGTTTGCGTCTCCGGGTCGCCGAAGCGGACATTGTATTCTAGCGTCTTGGGTCCGTCGGGGCCGATCATGAGCCCAGTGAACAGGACGCCCCTGAAGGGCATGCCGTCTTGACGCATGCCTCGAATGGTAGGCTGCACAACATCATCTTCGATGCGTTTGATCAATGCGTCCGTGGCAATGGTGGTGGGTGCGTAGCAGCCCATACCGCCGGTGTTCGGGCCCTGGTCTCCATCTCCGATCCGCTTGTGGTCTTGCGCCGGAGGCAGTGAGATGGTGTGGGTACCGTCGCTGAAAGTGAGAATGCTGAGCTCGTCGCCGGTCAGGTATTCTTCGATGACGACCTCCTGTCCCGCATCTCCAAAAGCCTTGTCGACCATGATCTGCTTCAGAGCAGCCTTCGCCTCGTCTTTGGTAGCGGGGATAATGACACCCTTGCCAGCGGCGAGTCCGGTGGCCTTGATGACGACATTATGCGAGATGCGATCGAGATATGCGAGAGCCTGGTCGAAGTCGGAAAAGTTCTCGTAAGCGGCGGTGGGAATTCCATGCTTCTTCATAAAGTCCTTGGAGAAAGTCTTGCTGCCCTCCATGCGAGCGGCCTCCTTAGAGGGACCGAAGCAGGGAATCGCAGCGTCGCGGAAGTACCCTTCGACGCCATCGACGAGAGGTGCCTCCGGGCCAGGAACGACCAATGTGATTGCATTGGACTTGGCGAATGCGACGAGCGCCGGGTAATCGTTCGCAGCAACGGAGGAGACATTGGTGGTCTTGGGACAGGTCGCAGTGCCACCATTGCCCGGAACCGCAAAGATGGCCTCGACGGCGGGGGACTGGCTCAACTTCCAGGCGAGCGCATGTTCGCGACCGCCATTACCAATCAGCAAAATCCGCATGGTAGAAGCCATCGCGATGGTTGGCAAAATTTGAAGCGATATCGGTAGGTTGAGTGATGGAGGGGTGGCTTGGGGGACAAAAAAAAATTCCCCCACTTGCCTGATTGTGTTGAAGGGTGCGGAAGCAAGCGGGAATTGAACTACCCCTCAGTCAACCCCACATTGCGATAGATAAGAAGATAAGATATGGATAAGCAACTCACTTGATGACTGAGCTTCATGGGAGCTTGGTTGACGGCCTGAGGTGCAACCAGACCTGGTGTCGCGGCGTTGAATCCTGTGACAACCTCCTATTGCTCCAAGGTCTCACATCCTCACCAAACGCAACAACAACAACAACAACAACAGCACCCTCAAGCCTTCCGCAGTATCAACTGAGCTTTCTTAGCGTAAGTTTCCTGATTTTGTTCAAGCATAACTCTGATTGACACCCAGTTCCTCTCAGATCTGCCAAAATGGACGCCTCGCGACAAGGAATCGAAAACTCAGACCTCGAGAAGCTCAACGACAAGGACAAGCAGGAGCTTCGTCAGTTCCTTGCCAACGAGTCGCAAAGATCGCAGATCCAGTCCCGTGCGTATCTTACTGCCTATGGCCGATTGTCCCTGCAGATACAGGTGTACTGACCTGTCGCAGAAACACATGCGCTCACCGAGATCTGCTGGAAAAAGTGTGTTACGGGCTCCATTCGAGGATCCAAGCTGGACAATGGCGAGGAGAAATGTCTAGCAAATTGCGTCGACAGGTTTTTGGACGTCAACTTCTTGACCATGAAGCACCTGAACAGCATGCGCTCTGGTTAACAATTTTTTTTGTACAAAAACATGAAGAATCACTGTACTATTAAAACTGGAAGATCTTGTGTACCAAATTAACGACACTCGTCACATGTACAGTCCAAAAGAGCTCTAACATCACCCTGTGGGTGAGACGTGCACAAATTATAGGCGTATGTTCACCGCAAATCATGTTACAGAAACTCAGCGATTCGGCGTTCATGTGGATTGTGGACGTGTTTTCGGTACGCGTGCCGACTACACTAAATCGACGTGTCGATTGTGTTTGGGTGCCTATGGTGTTGCCACACCAGGCGTGTAAAATGACAACCTGTGACGCCCTATGCCCATGCTTTGCGAGTGAAAGTCCTCCACCGAACAGACCGAACAGACCCATACCGATCACCTTTTTAGACGAGGGCCAGCTTGGTGGCAGCAATGTCGAGAGCGTCGACATCGGGCGTAAGGCGGGCGTAGGCCTTCTTGGAACCGTCGGGACTTCACCTTAGTTAGTCATGGGCAGCGCTGACTTGGGGTTGATTCCAGCACATACCGGACGAGGGTGTTGATCTTGACAGTGTCAATGTCGTAGAGCTTCTTCAGGGCCTGCTTGATCTGGGCCTTGTTCGCCTTGATGTTGACGATGAAGACAAGGGTGTTGTGCTCCTCGATCTTCTTCATGGCGCTCTCGGTGTTGAGAGGGTGGATGATGACCTTGTGCTCATCGAGACGGGGCTCGTGAGGGATCGACTTGCGGGGGTACTTGGGCGAGCGCGAGACCTGGAGGGTCTTGGGCAGGTGGAAGCTGGTCGTGTACCTGACCTTGGTCTTCTTCTGGGAGTTGGTCTGCGCATCGAGCGTTAGCGGACCGCATCAGATATACACTCGGTAGGACGGCGGTGCCTGCACTTACACCCTTGAGGGCAGCCTTAGCAGCAGCGTTGGCCTGCTTGGAGCCCTTGGGCGCCTTGGAGGCGCCACCTAGATTAGAGAAGAAGCATCAGCAATCGCTCTGTGAAGAACTCGCAAAGTCTGCTGCTGCATGATGCCCCGGCAAGTGGTGTCGAAAATGCCGGAGTAACGAATTGGTGCGGCGGCGCATACTGCGCCAAAAAGGATTTAGAGATCAGGTTGTATTACCCTTGGTCTGCGTCTTGGGAGCCATTTCGACGGTGTTGCTGGACGTGTTAGGCGGGTTGGGCGTGTCGGTTGGTGTCGAGGTCAGTCGCTGAAGGGGAACTTTTTTTCTCTTTCACGCAAACGAGTGAAGTTTGTGTGTCGATATTGGACAGGCCGCTAGGGCAGCGGAGAGGGCCCGCCTATCGAGAATTGTGATTGGTAGATATGATGATGGAGCGGGACTGAACCACCGAGTCACGTGAGTGTCCTCAACCCGCTTCAAATTGCTTTCCTGACGTAAGCAATGTCCGTGGGATGCTAAGCTGGAGGGAGACCAGGCAAACATACTGGTCCATAGGTACGATAAGAAGGCTCATTTTTCACCTCTCGAACTCCAGGAGCTCAAGTGCAACACCAGCTTTCGCTGTTTCACATACCGCCAGCAAGCTTTTGTCGCGCCTTACTCGCCCAGTATGGCGAGGAAACAGAGACAGGCACCCACAAGCTTGTCTCAAGGCCGCCCCCCAACCCTACAGCGCAAAGTTCATTCGATATCCAGGAAAGAAACTCGGACGCTCATCAACGCCCACCACACACTTCAGAAGAGACGGCAACAGGCCATCTCGCGCAATGACAGTGTTTTAGTGGCAGCTATAGAGGCAGAGATTTCGTCCCTTGGCGGCATCGCAGAGTATCAACGGGCCAGTCTTCAAGGGCAGAGAAACGATAGGGGCGGCGACAGCTCCAAAGTACTTCTTGAGTGGTTGAAGCCTGCTATCACGCCTTTGAAGGCGGCTTCATCGGTACCAGACCAACGCTTTCGCATGCTCGAGGTGGGAGCACTGAGCACAGAAAATGAATGCTCGCGAAGTGGCTTGTTTGAGATGAAACTCATCGATCTCAACAGTCAACACGACGATATCCTTCAACAAGACTTTATGGAACGCCCTTTGCCGACGAAAGACAGTGAACGCTTCGAAATCATCTCACTCAGCCTGGTCCTCAACTACGTTCCCGACCCTGTCCTACGGGGTCGAATGCTGCATCGCACCTTGGCATTCCTACGTGAACCACGGATCGACCTGCCTGGGGAAGGCAGCGCAATATTTCCGGCACTGTTTCTCGTGCTTCCTCGTAGTTGTGTGCACAACTCGCGATATTGTACACTCGAGCGGTTGACTGAACTCATGGCTCTGCTGGGCTACACGTGCATACAGACCAAGTACACCAACAAGCTGGCGTACTTCCTTTGGAGGCGGACGGAGCCACCTCGGAATCCCTTGCCGATTTTCCCCAAGAAAGAGGTTAATGCCGGGGGCGATCGCAACAACTTCGCCATTGTTCTCAATAAAGCATGAATTACTGGCGTCAAATTCATCTACCTGCAGACTATCTGTCGCTGCAGCATCGGTGCTTCTACATTGCCCTGATGCAGAGTATGCCATGAGAAGCATGCTCAAACTAGGATGCGGGGCAGAGGGATACTGCGAAACTTGACTGCGTGCCTGACTTGGCACTAAGGGCTCTACGAAGATTCGTTTCGCTTCCCACCGACGGCCAGGCCCTCAAAGGTTCGAACGGCCTGGCCCTCACCCACATGGCATTCCGGTAGCGGGGCGTTGCCCGGACGCACCACGACAAGACTGTGCATTCCAGCTGCTCGTGCGGCGGTAACTTCATCCACGTTGTCGCTCAAGAAAAGCCATTCCTGGGGTTGAGTGTCGGGATATCTGGAGAGAATGCTCGTATAGCTGCTAGATTCCATCTTCATCCCGGCGTTGACCGTGTCGAACCAGTCCGAAATGATGGGAATTAAGTTGGGCGGTTGGGCATTGGTATGCCCAAAGAGAAGCTTCTGCGCAGGAACCGAACCGGACGAGTAGATTATGAGCTTGATGCCAGCATCGTGCCAGGCCCGCATGCTCAGAGAGACGTCTGGAAAGAGAGGGGCTTTGATCTCCCCTGATTCATAGCCTGCTAGCCAGAGGTAGCCTTGCAAGGCCTTGAGGTATGAGACCTTGACATCACGCTTGACAAGGTCCGCAACGTGGGCCTCGAAAACTGGCCGTGAAGACGCTGCTGGCTCAGGGAAGGCGTTGCGATACGGCGCAAAGTCTGGACTATCCCACTTCTTGTCTAGAGTCGCAGGCAGGGCTTGAAGTGCGTAAGGGAACTGAGCAAAACCACGTTGTCAGCTGTGCCATGTCCGCTCATATTCTGCCTTGCCATGCCATGTGAGGCGGTGAGTTGGTCGAGCGGCCCAGGCGGCGTAGACCAGATATCGGCGAAGGACCTACCAGG